TAATAAATGTTCCCCATTTTGCAATTGCACTTGATTATTGGACTTCACATAGTTCAACCTGAGTTGTTACATAACTATACTACTTCAATTGAGCTTTCTCATAGTTGTTTTAAGCTCCTCTCACTGACATCCAATTTTATCATTTGAGTTCTTGACAAACTTGACACCAAGTTTGTCGATTAGGTTCTTATTTCTACTTATTGTCATAAGATGGATTCTTGTGTTCTGTTTTCAAGGCCAAGATATTTTTAAGTTGATGAGAGATTGAAACAAGAACTGTAACACAGATAATCAAAGGGAATAGAGAATATAATGCAGAAAACAGTATGAATATGATTCTGATACAATCAAATTCAAAAGACACACAAAATTAACATCACCTGAAGATCTGAGCATTTTGTAAAGCTTGATTCATAAACACAGAACAATATGACACAAAATATGCTATTCAGCCCATCATACCAATCTAGTTGGATAATTCAAAGTGTTTTGCAATTAATACTATGCCATGTCTATTTCCAGATAGGCCTTTTTTGCGCCTTGAAGTATATATTAAATTCCTCTTTCAATGCATTTTCAATATATTTATGGCAATGCATTCCAGATCATAACATTTTCTTTTAATTTTCCTTGACATTCGTTTGCAAATCATCGCAAATGTCTTCCAAGATAGTGCTTGAATTTTTATATTGTCAAGTGTGTAGACATATAGCTGTGCTTCTAATATTTGCAATGTGTTTAGAATTTGAATGTAACAGACTATTTCCATCATTAAAATGCCAAGCTTCTCTAAGTTCTTATTAATACTAATTCTGCAACATATAATTTGATTACTTGCATTTTTGGTTTAAATACTGTAGATATCCAATTTGTATGAACTTGAAGATGAGTTTGAAAGTTGGAAAGAGAGTTAATGGAGGACTGATCTCTGCAAAACTCAAAAAATCATATACTTACGTGAAAATGCTGTGTTCTGTGCTTTGTGAATGTGAATATTTTAAAGCTGGCAATTATATGAATGTACGTCATATATGTAAACTACACTTTTTTATTTCTAGTTATTTTCTGTCCAGTTTCTAGTTCTACTCATGTATTAATGAGTAACCTTCTTTAAAGTTGCAGTTCACAATAAGAAATCACAGAGTTGTCGCTGTTGTATGCAATAGTGGCAGTTTACAGTCATATTATACTTTGAACCTTGCACTGAGCTCAACCAAAAGAGAATTCTGCGCTAGCACGTAAGAAAGACATATGAAGCCCATTTCCCTCGCTGGTACTTTTTTTTAAAAAAAACAAATTGACACAAAGGAGCAAGTGGGATCATCTCATTTTTCATCGTTATTTCATCAGAGATTAAATAAACTGCCATTTCTGTAAACCAGATTCAACAATATTCCACTAGGGAGGCTTCATAATTAATTTTAATATGTTGCATAATAGAAACAGAAAATATTGAAAATACTCAGCCGATCAGACAACAGCTGTGGATAGAGAACCAAAGTTACTCTTTAGCTCATGGACCCTTTTTTGTGACAAACTTTCTCTGTGTCATATTCCAGGCTAGGTATAATTTAATTATTTAATTTATTTATTAACAGGATGAAAGTGTCACTGGCTAGGCAGCATTTATTGCCCGTCCCTAATTGCCCAGAGTCAACCACATTGCTGTGGGTCTGGAGTCACATGTAGGTCAGACCAGGTAAGGATGCCAGTTTCCTTCCCTAAAGGGCATTAGTGAACCAGGTGGGTTTTCCCCCGACAATCGACACTGGATTCGTGGTCATCATTAGATTCTTAATTCCAGATATTTTATTGAATTCAAATTCCACCATCTGCCGTGGTGGGATTCGAACCCAGAACTCCGGAACATTATCTGGGTCTCTGGATTAACAGTTCAGCGATAATACCACTGGTATTTCCTAATTCTTTGATATTTACTCTTCTATGAATGATAAGGGATCTTTGACAAAATTCATTCCATTGCTTGTTGCGTTTAATTTCTTCAACATTCATTGATGTTCTTCTGGACTTAGTGCTTTGATAGCTGGAGACATTTCCAGTTTACATTGAATCTTTTTGAAAAAAAAACTTCCCTAAAAATCTGAGAAACGGTGAAATATGACTTTTAATTCTGATATGAAAATAAAACTAAATTGCACTTAATAGGTTAGCGATCTAGGAACCTACAAAGAAATTGGTCTGTCCATCATTAGCTTTTGATCTTTGATTATTCTGACAATTTACATGCATCAATATATATTTTCTATTTCTTTCAACATACTTCTGGGTCTCTGCTTTTTTCTTTAGTTACTCAAAAAATGTTCTCACTCTACGCTACAATATGGCTATACTTCAGAAATAATTCATTGGTTCAAACTTAATTTAGAATATCTTGAAGTTGTACATGGTATTGTCGCAATTCAAATTATTTCATAGAATCCCTACAACGTGGAAGCGGGCCATTCGGCCCATCACAACCATCCCTCCGAAGATCATCCCACCCTATCCCTGCATTTCCCACCCTAGACACTAGGGGAAATTTAGCATAGCCAATCCACCTAACCTGAATATCTTTGGACTGTGGGAGGAAACCAGAGCACCCGGAGGAACCCCACGCAGACACGGGGAGAACATACAATCTCGACACGGACAGTTGCCTGGGTCTTGAATCGAACCCGATCCCTGGCGCTGTGAGGTAGCACTGCTGGCCACTGTATTACTTTTATTTTAGCCTCCCCCCCCCCCCCCCCCCCCCCAACACTGTCACATCTACGAAATATTTTATTTATTCTTAATTTATCATTGTGTGTTATTTCATCTGATGTTGTCAGGTCACCGGATATCTCTGCTGAAAAGCCAAAAAGAAATCTCCCATAATTGTTACTCTCAGCTCCTCAAGTGTTTTGTCTTCCTAATGCATCTGCGACACACACATGCCCTGATTTCATCAACAAACCTTTAGAGGGTTGGGTTTGAATTGGATTCCTCGCTGTACACAAATGTGTCCTCGCTCTTGCTTCTTAGCTGAGAAAATAGCTTGTCACACAACCGTACTTTATCGTTTTCCTCATTCAAGATAAGAGTTTACCTGCAACACACAAACTCTTGATGATAAATGCAATGAAAGATGTGCCGTGGAGGAAAGTGGGGAAAACAGCCTTTAACTACAATGGATCTGAAAAAAAATCATTATTTAACCATACACTAATCTTTTGCTACCTGTTTAATCATTTGGATTTACATCTTACTTTTGTTGTGAGATATAGGTAAAGCGGTATTCCACCTCAAGTTTTATTATCGTTTCCTTATAAATTACAGCTAAATCATTTTCTTATTTCTACTTTGTCAGTTGTGAGTTCTGGTATTTTTATATTTTGTGTCCATTCTCGCCAATCTGTATTTTGCGACTATTTAAGGAGATATAGTCCCAAGGCCCCAAAAATTAAACCTATGGCTCCAAAGTAAAAACTAAGGTTGCCCCTCGACAGTTTGCAAAGATTCACAAATTATACTTTGGCTGCATATCGATTCTTCTAATTGTACTTATTTCTCGTAGGGAATCAACTTCGTGTAGCCCTCTTTGTTTCCCTGTTTACTTCCTTCAAACATTGTGAGCTCCCAAATAATTTCTGCAACAAATACGCATTAATGGATGTCCGTATACTGGTTAAAACCCAAGACTTGTGTTAGCTTTCTGCTTGCTCAAACACCGAGGCAGGTTGCTTGCGAACCTTGATCTAAGTCCTTTCCTTTCAATTAATTGTAGTTGTCCAGGCTTTCTCTATTATATATGTTTATTATATTTGAACTTGATCCAGAAATTGATTAGAAACATTTCGATTCACAATTTTTATAGAACTTTATCCAGGGTGCTTTTTTTTTACACCTCGATCTTATTCTATTCTGTTTCAATTTCCTTCCACCTTTATTTTTTTAAGCTGGTTTCTGCCGTTCGAGGTTTCCTTCCAATGACTCATAGCTCCTGTATTAGTAACAGCCCACCATTTGCCTTAATCGCATTGGTCCTAGACCCAGAATCCATGTTGACCGTCGGTCTCCTTCACCTTCCCCAGCTTCCTCATTCTGAACCGGCTTAGTGTTTTTATCCACTGGAGGAAAAACTACTCCTTCATTTCCATTATCACGCGGTCAAGACAATTGACATGCAGCGTGCAATACAAGTCAAACATATTTTAAAAAAAAGTTTTCTAACCGGTGGATGTTTTATGTAGCAAAACATTTATACAGCGCCTCGTCATGCCTAGCGAACATCCGCAGCCTTCTCTGCGCTGAGTTGCTTTGACAATGACAATTATTTGGTAGGGGCTAATTGAATCCTCGGGGCATAATGCGGTTGAGTTAGCTATTGCGACTTTAGTGTAGTGTTGATTGGGGTAGATTTTGTATTTGCATTGTGGTGTAAAATGGCCGATAGAACACTGTGCTTTGCAGCTCTCAGTATTTCCTCGACTTCAATGGGATTGATGGTAATGTGTTGCCGATTCGTTACATCTCCCCCACCCATTTAATACCATTGCACCGATCAAGATCCATCCCCATGGGGGATTTTTAACTGGCGACCATGCTATAGTACAACCATTTTGCATTTTGTTTCAAGCTGCATTATAATTCTTGTCGCATACCACTGGTCCGTTGGGCATAATCGATCCTATGGCTCGATTGGGAACTGTTCCGGGGAGGTTTCTTCGTATTTTGGTCAAGATTCCTCCTTGGGCCCAATCCACGAAAGTAAAAGGCATTGCCCGGACATTTGGCTCATTTGCTGCTCCGTGGGATCTTGCTGTGTAAAAAGTAAAGCTGTTGCATTTACGCAACAGTAACAATGACTTCACTCTAAAAGTTCTTGGTTGCATGAAAATTGATTGAGACTTCCCAAGGAAGTGGAAAACTGCTCGTTCCTTATTTATGACCATTTAAGTCAATCCCATTTTATCAGGTTCTCTAGCTACTTGCTGATGCGACTTTTGTGTTTGTTTCAGGTTACAGCGCTGTGGCTTTCGACGGGACTCCAGGTTACGGTCACACTCCGAGCCATCACACTCCTCAATTCTCCAATCACGCCTTTAAACACGAGGAGCCCATCAACCAGCAGAACAGTATAGGTAACACTTCATTACCTCAGAGGCCAAAGCAAAGTTTACTCACCTTTAAAAAAAACACGCAATGTTTCTCTAGTCTAACTGTTCGAATTACTGAATAACAATTATTGTTTTTGCAACAATAGCCAGCTACCAGTTTAAAATCTCTTAGTGCAGTTTGGACGGGAAACAGCATCACATTAAAAGAAAAAATCCCGAAAGCTCTTTTCGCTAACCTGAAACGTGTTGGTCAATTTTGTGAAGGAGTGTTTTTGAGATGTCATAGTTGAAAGTCGGAATGAAAAATAAACGCTTTTAAAAGTTGTAAAAAGAAACCGATCAAACGCACTTTAATCACGCGATTAAACACGTCAATGCCTTCACTATTGTTATATTAGAAGCGACACCAAACATATGGATTGTTGGACCACAAACGCGTATTTGTTAAAATTGCCTAATATTTCTTAGCCTCCACATTCAGCCCATTACATGTAGTTGTTCTTGTAGGATTTAATAATTGGTACATTGCATGATCGGATCATTTGTATAAAAAAGTGTGCAAAGGTATGGGGGGCGCGATGTAGGAAATTGGCACTAAGTAATGATGCTCGTTTGAAGAGCAGGTGTGGCACGATGGGCCGAATGATCTCATTCTGCGCGTATCAACGATTTAACTACGACGCTATAAAATTACATACGTCGAGATAAAATTACATACATCGAGTATTTTAGCTTATATCGATAAGGTTCTCCTCGTCAAATTATCCTCTGGGATATTGGCGGGTAAAAATCATGAAGCTTGCCTGAAATGATTACTGTATCTTAGTTGGTATGTTATTTAATAAACGAACGGCCGTGTTAGAACTGAGAGAGGTATGTCAGAAAAATTTATTTGGAATATGAATAGGTCATATTCCAATATCTTACTTGAGCACTTTCAGGACAAGCATTTAGATTCTAATACAGTGGTGTATAATGAGACCTCTGATTTTTTAAAAAAAGTTTTTACTGCAAAACATTTTTGTAAAAAAGAAACCATACATGAGAGCTCTTTATGCACTAATTAACGCTAAACGTTCATCGACAAACGCTGAGGCGACACAATTTAAAATGTCAATTGAATGTGAGAAAACATTTTTGATGAGTAATTAATTAGAAAGCCTGATTAATGAAATCGGCGGTGGGGTTAGATTGATTGTCCTGTAGATTCGATAGACTTTTCATGTTGATTTAAACATTTTTGTTTACATTGAAGTGCTGCAGGTGTTAAGGCAACGACATGTTATTGAATAATCTCTGCACTTAGCTGCTAAATGTTCTAGGGAGAGCTTTCTCGCTCCCCTAGTTGTCCAGACAAGGTCAGATTTGCCATATGTGCAGATCTAAGTGAGGACTTGAAACTTTATGGTTTCCTTACGGAAAATGTGTTTGTCAAATTGTTTTCAAACGACCTGTTCGGGCATGCTGTGTGACTCACCTCAGGTGGGACTTGAACCCAGAGCTTCCAGCCCAGAGACAGGGAAACTACCACTGCATCATAAAACCCTTCTGCTCAAGCTGATACAGTTACAACCAGTTATGTAATTGGTCACCCACACAACACTCGTTTTCATTAAATAGAACAATTTCACAAAAGTACACATTTATTAGGATACTAACTAATAACTGTCCCAAAATAATATGAGCTGTAATTTTAATTCCAAGCAGCATTGCCATGGGCAGAACTGTATGGCAGGTGTAAAGTGGATGATCTCTGAAACCTCTGATAAGGAAGTGGACTCGGATTGTACAATATTTGCCATCCGCTGAATCCAAGAAGTTCCACATTTTATCTTTTATCTTACACCTGTTATAACAGCCTCAAACAACACAAACTGCAGCTGCTGAACATTCTCTAACTCGGCTGTGAATGTTTACATTTTTTTCCAGTAAGGATAGACTGCATCTCGGAAAGTGAGAATATCTGTTACAAATGTGAAAGACATATACAACAGTGCTTTGTTACAGTTCTATTTTTTTTAAAAAAACGTGTTTTAAACTACAGCATCATATAAACTTAACTAAATTTCAATGATATCGCATGTTCCAAATGCAGGTTACACGTTACCATAAAGGAAACATTTATTTGTTGACATCTTTAGCTTATCCCTTTTAGACAGAGGTAAAGTAGCATTACGTGTACGTAACTGGTGGAATCAAATTCTACTTCATTATCGTCACGCAGGATGAACGAATGATTTCCTCTATTACTACAATGGCAACTTTGTGTTGAGGTTACTATCATAAGAAGCACCCTTGTTTATTATAATAATTGGACATGCTACAGCCGCGAAATCGATCTATAAAATCATTTCTCAGGTTTCAATTACACTGTCACCTAAAGTCACAATTAATTGAATAAAGAGGAAACTTGGCAAGATGTCTGCTAGGCGAAGCTATAAAAGCAGATCTAATTTCTTAACGGCTTAACCGACTGTATTGAATTGACGAACGGTATTGGTGACTTTATGTAGAAAATACATTGAATGTACGGCACCGATATAGAGAAAAAAGCGAAAGAACTGCGGATGCTGTAAATCAGGAACAAAAACAAAGTTGCTGGAAATGCTCAGCAGGTCTGGCAGCACCTGTGAAGGAAGAAAACAGAGTTAACGTTTCCTCATAGGAAAGGGTCACCGGACCCGAAACGTTAACACCGATATAGAGTATTCCGCTTAGCTGCCGTCATAAGCTTATGATGCACACGAACCTCCTCCGACCGAGGTCATTTCCACACCGTCTGAATTTCCTTCCGGATAATACTTCAGATTTTAGTTAAAGTTCGTGATTAACAATTAAATAGTTTGCATTCAAAACGCATTTTACGTAAGCAAATACGGTCTTTGAAAAAACAAATTGTACACATCTCAATTGACATTCATTTCCATCTTCGCAACTGTCAGAATATAATTATGCGTCCGATTTTGCTCAATCCCCATTCACTGACATTTAAAATCAGGATCATATATGTGTGCGATATGTTACTGACAGAAACATAATTTCAAGCTATATGCTAATTCTTCAAGCGATGTAGTATGTATGGATAGAAAACTATTGGACGGAGGAGATTTGAACATGCGTTAACTAGTTTCAGAAAAGGGCCTAAACCGATTTGAAAGCAACTGACTGCCATACTACGAAATAGGTGGCTATTTGTGACCAGCATTAATATCTTCATTAGTTCATAAGAGTAGGAGTAATTTACCGTTCGCCTGCTCTACTATTCAGTAAAGTCAAGGCTAATCTGCTTGTGGCCTTCACTTCACTTTACAGTCCATCCACAAACCTCAACATTATTGTTGATTAAAATCAGTCTAACTCAGTCTTGATCTGCCTCCCCTGTTTTGGAAAAGACTTCCAAAGACTACCAACTCACTGAGAGAGAAAAATAAATCCTTCTCAGCTTCTATTTTAAATGCATGTCCTCTTATTTCCAAGTTGCATTAAGTTGATTTAAATCATGGCAGAGTTTGCAATCTTTTGTCAAAGAACAATTCCTTTGTGCGCACCTGGTTGAATGCTCAATAAAAGGCAAAAGGGAAACGAGGTATATCAACTTGGGAAGTTTCAGATTTGCACACACCAGCAATTTGTGCAACAGTTTGATCAGAGATTTGCACGTTTTACGAAGCATCTTGAAAAAAAATTACATAGCAGCAGAGCTGGGTAGAATCTGAGCAAAGGGTGCTTCCATACATGAGCCATTTATGTGAAGAGATGTTATATATTCACACCTCTCATTAATTACAGTGAATTTTCACCTTATAGTCAGGGACTGTTTAAGTTTTTTTGTCTTTGTAAGAGTATACAAAAATAAATCCATTTTGACAGGATCGTCAAGTGAGTAAAATGCAATAAATTGTTCAAGTTTGGTAAAGCTTGTTTTGCAATTGATGGTAATGCTAATTAAGAACAAAAGTTTGTGTATGGGTTAAATATCATTTATGCCGCAATAGAATGAAATCCAATGTCATGAGATATCTGGAGCACATTTGCACCACTGAATACTGTCATTATATCACAGCATTAGCAGCTCATGATTTGCAATTTCTTGGAAAGTTTAGAAATAAATTTTCATTTGTAATTTATTCCACAGGTGAGCAACAGTACCCGGTCCCTCCACCAGTCTATGGCTGCCACAACTCTACAGACAGTTGTGCTGGGAGTCAGGCTCTGCTGTTAAGATCCCCATACAACAGGTAATATCTCTGCACTGCGCAATACTAGGTTCAAACTGATAAGACATTTGGTCATTTATTTATTAATGCTGCTCATTATTGGAGAAAGGTAGGGTTCAAGTTATTTATTCTTCTTGTGGTACACCTCAGTCAAGATTTTCATAATTTGCTGAGGGGCTCCATCATGTAGCAGAAGGTAATCAGCTGATTACCATTGTTCTCTCAATGGAAATATAAGTTGACCAGCTCTTTCATTGAAAGATTTACACCAGATCCTGTTCACCCATCTTCACTGTACTCACTGATATGCATATCTAAATTAGGAATTCCTCACATTTAAAATTCTCATCCTCTGTTCAAATCTCTCCATGAACCCTGTTCCTTTAGACCACAGTTTTTATAACATACCACATCTCAATAACCTTCCAAATTCTGGCATCCTGCACATCCCATATGTTCTGGAATTGCCCACCTTGTCTCCATCCACACCTCCCCCACCCCATCCAAATCTTTCTAACTCTCTACCTCTTTCTCCTCTTTTAAAGCACTCATTCAAATTAACTTCATGGACCAGATATCCTGGATGGCACAATTACATTTTGAAATATTGATGTGTATCTGTGCCAAGACCGAATGAGCAGTTGGATGGGCTCTCAGGTTTCTAATCTTGAACCAGAAGTACTGTTGACAGTCAGTATTTCCTCCTTATGTGGCTGGTACCAAATTTTGTTTGGTAACATTCCTGTAAGTGGCTTGAAATGTTGAAAGCTCTCTAAACACCAGAAATTATTACCAAATATCTGCTCACAACATTGCTTGATTAATTTTAGTCCATTCCTCCACACCCACTTTCACTCTTAACTTGGGCTGGATGTGTTGCGCCAGCCTATCCATTTCTTTCTGTAATACTGTCCTTCCAATGTTGAAAGTTCCACTCAATGTTTGGCAAAAACAAATAAAATCCATTCCTTACCTATTTCCGCTGGAGTTGGCCACCGATGTTCCCTTAGCTCAATGTTTTCCCTATCAGCTGCTGGAATGCAACTGGCAAGCTCATGGAGCATCCAGTCAAACATGACTGCATGATCTCCTAGCTGTGTGTTAGTATTTAGTGGGATGAATAAGAATGTTACAGGCTCTTCTTGGACACATCAGAAAGTCTGTTTATTAGCTTTTGAAAGGTTGCTGGATGATTTCTATTGCCAACTAGGACTGGCATTTGAACTCCTGCTCCTCTGAATTATGTCCATAATTCTCATTTGGAACAATGTCAAAATAACCATTAACAGAAACTGACCTAATAACTTGCAGAAATGTAGCAGAATGTCACACTCACAGGGCAAATAATGAAGAACTGATGAATTAAGAAAAATAAGCTACTTTGTACCAATTGTTGAATGTTGAATGATGTAGACTTCATAAGTGATACAGTTGAACATGACTGTAATGTTTTTTTTATAATCTATCACTTGCAGTCATTCAGACCAAAGACTTCAAGCACAAAATCTAGCCTGACCTTTTTGTGCAGTTATGAGTTTTATGTTACTTATATTTGCACAACATAACATGGGAACAAAGAACCTGCACTTCTGTACCACTTTTCAGAACATCATTATGCCCCACAGTTAATAACTAAGGCAGGTTTGGAATGTAATGTAGGAAACATACAGCGAATTCGCACACAACAAATTCACACAGAGCCTAACCATCTATTTTAGTGAGGTGAATTGAGGGATAAATTTTGGCTCAGCGCAATGGGGAAGAAATCCGTTACTGCTCTTCAAAATAATGCCATGGAATCTTTTAAGCATAGGTACAGTCTTATATAGTATTTCATCTGAGCAAAGGCATTTTTGACAGTGCAGCACTGAATTAATGTACAGCACTGAAATGTTAGCTTAACTGTTATTTTCAAGTTTCTACAGAACCCATACCTGTTCAATACATCAGAGATAGTAGGAACTGCAGATGCTGGAGAATCCGAGACAACAAGGTGCAAGGCTGGATGAACACAGCAGGCCAAGCAGCATCATAGGAGCAGAGAGGCTGACGTTTCGGGCCTAGACCCTTCATCAGAAAAGGGGGAGGGGAAGGGGGTTTTGAAATAAATAGGGAGAGAGTGGGAGGCGGATAGAAGAGGGATGGAGGAGAGGATAGGTGGAGAAGAAACAAACAGGTCGAAGAGGCGGGGATGGGGCCAGGAAAGGTGAGTGTAGGTAGGGAGTTAGGAAGGGGATAGGTCAGTCCAGGGAGGACGGACAGG